AGGCAGAATTTGTCTGCACACACATACCTGTGGATGGGTATAGACAGTGTGCTTGAAGGTGGAGTATGACATGCCTTGCCATTGCTTCTTAATCCAATTTATGAAATTAACAGCCGCTGGTGGTATCTGGATCCCTAGAAAAAAAAAAAACCAACCATTTTCTTTTGCAATGTTTTTGCATGCAATTTCTTTTGTATGCAAACAGACAACAAATACAGTTAATTTTTCTTAGGCTTCTAGTATACGCGTGAATCTAACTTAACTTAAACTAGCTTTTATGTTCTTGGTGTGTGAAAGGGCAGCAAAGCCTCCTCTGGAGCAACACCGAAGGGTTTCTGGGAGGGTTTTTCTCTGCGTGCAGGTGAGTGTTGGTGGGTTTCTGGGGAGCCCGGGTAACGTGCCACTGTTACAGGGCTTGGGTTTCACAAAGGCAAAAAAACCCCTGGGAGCTTAGGAAATATCTTCCCAGAACACAACCAGGGAAATGTTGGCACCGGTCAAAAAGAAAATAAATAGCAGAGCTGGCAAGAGGTGCAGCAGCTCCGTGTCAACAGAGCATGTAATGCAAAGTGTTTGAGCATGTACTCGGGGCTGGGTGAAGCGAAGGGAGCGCCAGTGTTTGCTTAATCCCAGAGAGGGGCTTTGCAGAGCTGTGGTCTAAGACTTGTTTTTTCCAGTGGCCGAGGATTGCGTTAGTCAGGAGGTTTAAGAGCCCTGCGAAAGCCCTGGATCATCTCTGCGGTAGGATAAGCAGTTTTGCCTGGGGATTTCTGCTCACAACAGATGCTGAATTGGGATTATTTACTTTTTTTTTTTTAAACAAAGATCTCAAATTCATTTCAGTGAAGGACCTTGAATTCAAGATTTTGTGGTGAAAGCAGAGGAAGCCTGCGTAGGACACGGCACTGGTCACCACCCTCGCAGCCAAAGGGATCCTGCAGACAAAACTTTCCCCTGTGCGGTTTATTTATTGAGTAATTTGATTTCACTGGTGATTCCGGGGGTTCCCCCGAACGTGGAGGGACTGGCCCTGCTGCCTTGTGTCTCCCCGCAAGCCGCCTGCTGAGCCCTGGGGATCCCCGCACTGGGACGGCAGCTACAGCGTGGCATTTTCGGGTGATTTTTCCTGGTGCTTTTGCACTGCTGCCAGAGCTCTGGCCCTGTAAATATCGAGCGAGAGGAAAATGGTTTAAAAAGGTCCTTTTTAAACCCGAGTAGGTGATCGCAGAGGCGTTCCCCTCTGCTTGCGAGACGTGCCCCCCTTTTCCTAGCTGCGTAGAGCCCCGTGCATCCTTTAAGGTCGCGCAGATCCGACCCTCTTTGGCCGGTTGAATCATTTCCTGTTTTCTTCAGTTTTTGAAGAACTCAAAGGCAAGCTGGAAATACTTGCAGATAGGGTGAACTAACTGCTCCGGGGCCATGGGAAAAATACAGGCGTGCTAAATCTGCGGAGGGAAAGGATGCGAGCGTGGGGTTGCGGCTTTTACTCAACTTTTTAAAGCAGGTCCTGGCTTTTACTGAGCAGGTAGCTGAAGCGCTTTGGGAGCGCGGCAGCAACGGGGCTGTTTTTGGCAAGAGCTGGGGTTTATTGATCAGTGGACGTTGCACTGATTGTTCTCCATCTCACACTGATGATTCGGATGTTGCACTGATGACTTTTCCCTTTTAAGAACCCATTTGCGCACTGAGGTGTCAATGCCAAGAGCATCTCGCCGGGCAGGTGTCTTTTCCCCCAAAACTTGTCCTGGTAGCATCCTTGTGCCCCCCAAGCTCAGCTGCAGCCTGTGTGCGTGAGCAGTCAGTAAGACTTTTCTCCACAGCTCCCTCTGTGTGCTTTTTTTTTTTTTATATATAAAAAAAACCCGCATTGCCAAGTTAGTCTCTGTAAACGTTCAGCTACAGTTTGCAGCTGGTCTGAGCGAGCCCCAACGCCTGTGACAGGCAGTGCTGACAGCAGCTCTCGTTTTTAAGTGCTTTTTGAAGAATTTGGCACTCTGGCCCCAAGGAGTCTGGGCGGCCAACGTGTCTCTCCTGTGCCGGAGCGGTGGCATCGTGGGCAGCTGTGACCTGGCATCCAGCGAGGGCTGGTCATCTTGCTTCCCTCTTTTTCTTCCCGGGTGCTGGGATTAAGCTGGTCCTGAGTCCCGATCCATCTCTGTCTCCCCTGGGCGTTGCAGCCATGGCCAAAATTCCCCCTGCTTTTTGCCCTGGGACTCTGGGACTGGTCTCATTGCTCCCTGTCGGGGAGCGCAGTCGGCATGCACCGTACAAGCGGGTGCATATGGCTGGCAGGGGGTGGTCGGG